AAAACATGTTACCTCACACATCACAAACACATGACTATAATGGTACCCAAAACTTCCCTTTGCCTTCCTTCCCAAAGACTCTTCCTGGGGCTGAATAAAATGAAAACAGTATTTGATTCAACCACCTTATTTGTTTTTTGGTATTTGAACTTACTGAACTTGTAAAAATTAAGATAAATTTTGTTTCTGCTCACTCTTTTAAAACTCTTAATTCTAAATATAATGAACCTGTCAGGGTTTAAAACAAGACACTCTGGATTTATTCACAGAAAAGCTTCAGAAGGTTCTGTAAAATGGAGTTAGGGGACCACATCTCTTGAAATCTGACTTGGTTTAAAAGCAGAGCTGAAACCTGTGTCATTTCACAAGAATTTTATGAAATTAAGTGTATGTGAGAAATTCCGCAGCTGGAAATTTATGGCTTTGGAGGAGCAGGGCTATAGGGTGGAGTATTAGAGCAGGACTGTTCTTTCCTACTGCACAACAGGATTTTTACCACTAGATCAGCAGCAATGTTTTGGTCTGCCTCCAACAGCGTATTTCCACAGCAGTCTCATTGGACACAGGAAAGACTTTGAGCTTCCCAAACACTGAGGCACTGAGCATGGACCACTCTACAGACTTCTCTTCCCTGTCTAACTAGCCAAACTCGACTAGTTTCAACCAACACTGTGTTCTCTCCATGAACAGATACTGCTCCCACAGCACAAAAGGTACCAGAGCAAATTCTGAAGGCAAAATTCTGAAGAAAATCTAAACCATGGAAAAAAATTGCGATGGATTAATGCACATGCTAGGGTTGATCTTAATGATCCTGCTCTGTTCAGCAAGAGTTTACATTTCAGTAAAATAGTGCTGAATTAGAAGAGAAGCATTTAGAACTGATTTTAATGAACTGAGTATGAAAAAAGCCAGCATACGTATTTTGCAACAAATCTGTTAACTGTTACACAATAATCATACTCCTCATTCTTTTAACCTGATTTTAATGATTATATGCTCACTTTAATCTATACACAAAATAAGGAGGGTAATTAATTAATCACCTTACAAAGTTTTCCTGTATATTTGCCTCCTCTCAAACTCTTTAATCACTAGGAGGTGGATTTCTTTTCTGCTTTTCTTTGTCCCCTCACCACTGGCCTCCCTCAGAGAATGGGCCTCTCTTACCAACAAAGATTAAAAAAGGGAGACATAAATCACGCAAAATTTGACATGCACGTGAAAGAGGAAATACAGGCAAATTACAGAATTGATCTGCCCAGAGAATGATAGATCTGAATCCCCCCATTTAACTTGCAAAAGGAAGGGGAAAATTTCCAACTGTTTAAAAAAACTAGAGGCATATTGCTTCCAGCTGCCACTAATCCTCCTTTTCTGTAGTAAACCCATCAAGCAGGATGAAACAATACAGTATTTCGACACTGAATACTGAACAATTGCACCTTATTTTCAAAGGCAACGAAGTACAGCAGCACAGCTAAGCTGCATCAGGAAACAAGGATGAGGACCAAATTGTAAGTTTCTGGGTAGCCTGCAGAGGACAGCACTTCTGAGAAAAGAAAAAGAGTACAAATACTTGGTTTTGCTCAAATATATTTTCTCATAGACCTTGAAGGTATGCAATTTCATCTCTCTACGCTCCCTGCCTTCCTTGCTGCCCAGAGTGGTACTCTGAGGCACATCTCTGACACTGGCACTGGGCAATCACCTGTGGAACACATGAAAAAACACTGCAGTTGGCCCCACAGTTTTTGATCTGGTACAGAAGCTATTTATAAAGCATTCCCAGACTACCGTAGTTTTAGGAGAACAGTACTGAAAATAGCTGATTTTTCAGGCAAGAATGTAATGGCTTACCCTACTGCCCCAGACCAAAGATTCTCCTAGTCCTGTATCCTGCTATCCTACAAGGAAAGTCTCTTCCAAAGGAACAAGTAAATGATGACACCTCTCCTCACACAGCCTGCCAGCTTCCCTCTGCCCATCTGTTCTCTTCTCACTACCCCTTGAACACAAGCACCACATAATCTCTGAATACAGAGAAAACAAGAGTTCCCAATTGATCAGGATTTCGCTACTTCTGGAGAACTGTGAATCACATCCATGATCAGTCTGGTGACACTAGGAGTGCCAGACTTGCTGTATGCTATGATAACTGACTTGCAGGCAAAGAGTCATCTTGGCTTTCTAGACATCCAAGCGTAAAATGAAAGCCTGCTGCTCCAAGTGGTCTGCCAGAAGTCCAGTAAATCTTGAGAAATGTTCAAATTCAAGCACAAGGCAATACATCCAAGTTATTAAACAGCACACAGGAAATACTCTTTTGTACTCACACCGATCTATGTATATACATACACACACCAGATGTAGGTTAACCATCCTAGCTGCATGCAGCACTTCAATAAAACAGACTAACTTATTTTTAAGTTTAAGCCTAAAATCTGTCCTTACAACTTTAGAGAAACAGACTCCATCACTTCAAATATTCAGAATCTACTTTTGTAGTAAACATACTAATAGCAAACCACGTAACTTGAAGCAGGTTGTGAAAGGGCGTTCTTATAAATATTTTTTGAGAACTCCAGAACCTCCCACTCCCACACCTTTTGTAAGACTGCTTAACAAGTTACAAGGAAGGTTATAAATTACTCTCCCAAAGACAACACAACTGCATCAAATGCACTTTTAGTTTACCAGGGAACTGCCAGAGTGAAATATAGAATGGATATCAGAACCGAATTTTTTGTTAATCCCATTTACTCTTTGGCTAGGCAGCTCAAGTTTAGATTTGCAGTGTATCCAGATTACTGGATCCATACCCTGAAAAGTGGTGAGTGGACTGGATAAATTAATTAGCTCGTTCAGATACCATCAATCACTTCCCCAGTTCCATTCTCTGCCTCGCAACACAACCAGACAAATCCTCCTGCTGACTGTTTTCGTGCACTCTGGCACACACCTGACCAGCAGTTCAAGGGCACACACCTCAACTGTCTGCAGTGACTGTACAACACACAAGCAAAAAACGTCAAGGCAAGGACAGGGCCACCAACAAGACTGACCAAGGACTTACTTAAAGACATTATTTTTTAAACTGTTTTCCCATTAGTTTTGAGATGAGTCCCTGTTCGGTAGCACCTTTGGCTGACGTTACTTGCTGCCTGCTCCTTTCAGAATTACTCGCTTTTGTAGGATATATATAGCACAAATACTCAATATAAGATGCACCTCAGCCTTTTAAACAGTACCTTCAAAACTAACTTCTAACGGAGTCACGTATCAAGCAGTTGTTCTTTGACACAGCCTTTCAGGCCTGGTGCTCTCCCACTGACACAGAAAACAATCATTAATTTAAATGTCCTGGGAGCTGATGACAAGCCACACATACACAAAATCAAAGTTCTTCTGGTCCCAAAGTCAACGTTAAACTTTTTGCCCCTTAAAGAGTTTTGCAGCTGAAGTTCACTTCCTCTGCGTTCTGCACACTTGAAAGGTCAAGTTCTCTTGTGCTAGGAATGAAGCTGCATGTTCTGGCAGCTCTATAGACCTCTGCTATGTCTGGTTCCCACTGTCCCCTTCCATAACAGCAGATACCTGCAGAACCAAGCTGTCAGTCTGATCCACACACAACTTGAAACCAAATCATTTTTCTGGGATACTTTTCAGACAGGTTTATATATGTGCAAGGCTCAACTTTACAGCCAAGTGGCTAAAGCCAAACGGGAAACCCTACCTACTGCGAACTACCCAAAATCACACCGCAAGAAAGCAAACATGACCTATAGACAGTCTGTGCACTCACCTCACTCTCAGTTCTGAGCTGCATCCCAGCTTGTAACTCACTAATCTGTCTCCCAATGAGCCCAAGCCCTTTACTACCCTCATCGTGGTCAGAGGTTATAGTATGCAACTCACTGAGGCCACATGACATCCTCTACCAATTTAATACAGACTAGCATCATTTTCCACAAATCACTACATTGCAAATACATATTAATTCTTCACACAACTAGTCTGAAGTCTCCCCATTACACTTTAACCTAAAGTAAAACATTTTCCTTTTACATGGCATACACTGTAAAAACAAGAGAGTTTTGAACCATAGGGTGGAGAAAAAAGTTTGATGATGATAAAGAACTAAGATGATGATCACTTCTCCATGCTCACCAAATATGCAATATGCAGGCTTCTCTGCAGAAGGAAATTCACTTAAAATATGTAATTGAACCAGGTTAGCCATATTGATGTAATTCCCTTTGAGGCCAAATTCACTAAAAGATTCAGCAGTGTGACACTGTGTTTTTCCATCTAGGAAATGTTCAAGAGGTGAGAGGTATATAAAATACTGTACTGCTTTCCCCCAGTGTTGTGCAGATTCTCTGCTTTTGGAGGTCACTAACCAGTTACTGTGGTATTGAACACAAGCATCAGAGATACGGAGTCTGTAAAAATTCCATTCGATCCACATTCTGAACTTTACACCCACCAATAGCCATCACATCCAAACTAGACAACTTTGCACTGCTTGTGTGCTCCCTTCATGCCATCCAGCAATTCCTACAAGATTCTTCACCAAATACTTCAACAGTTCAACAAACAAAACAGAAAATCACAACCACCCTCAACTTCAAGCTCCATCTTGACATGATGAAGCATCCTACTGTGCACCACTTGGAGGGATGCTTCATCCTCCTCCTGCAGGATCTGTGAATGGCTACAATTTCTGACAACCAAATCACTTCCACATGATTTTCTTAATTTTCTTTTGTATGTATCTACCCTTCTATAAGTGTGTACAGGAGGTGCTTGTGTCTGCATATATGCACACACAAACTGTGAACTTTTAACTTTCAAACTAACTGCTGTAGCCGCTCTTGCACAGGGAGTGCATTCTCACTACTCCATAGATGGACTGTACTTGGGAACATCATCTTTTCCTGCTGGACAACTGCAATGATTTTGACACAGCTGACAAGAGCTTGTGATACTGCACTTACCCTGGGTGGGACAGTCTGCAGGGCTGTGATGTAGTTCTCCAGAGCAATGCGGCGACGGTCATTCAGCATGGCTTCCACCCGTGCCATGTGGGTCTCCACCAGCTGCTGTCTTTCATTTGCTGCTTCTTGTTCCAGTGATTCCACTTTCTCCTGGAAATGCTGAACAAAAGCATCCATCACAACAGAAGCAGTGAAGACATCAGCAGAGACCAACAGATATGAATACCTCCATGTGCAAAGCACCAAATTGTTTCCCCATGTCAATCTAGTTTGGCTCAGGAACTCTGCACTGAATGCACCTTTTACTGATTTCAGTGGAAACTGCAATGCCCTGGACTCTCAAAGACATGGCCGTATTTTATTAATCCAGTAAAACTACTGCTGACATGTTCAGCACAACCACCACTGAATCCTTCATTTGCCTCAAGACAGGTTCAAATGCTACAAAACTGTTCCTAGAGGAGGTTGGAGTTTGGTAAGTGCACACCCCTGTCAACATGAGCCATCAACATGACTTCATGAGCAAACATACATGGGGAGAAAAAAATTTACAACCTGAACACAGTCACTACAATTTCTTACTGGCCAGCAGGAAGAAAAACTTAACCCAGATTTATTCCATTACAGGAGAAGACTGACTGGGTAAAGTGCACAGAGAGCAATGCTGTGGGATCTAATGTGCACACCAATACGGTTCTGAACATTTCCTTTTCATAGTTGTGCACTGAAATCATTCTAGCAGTACTGAATAATACCTGACAGTGGGATTCAAGGAGTGCCTGGATTGTCAGTTTTTGAATTAGAGTATAACTTCGGATAAAATAATTTTTGGCTGAGGGTGTCTTTCAGATAGAACTGATAGCGATTACTTCTTTAAATCGCATTTTCCATCTCTGCTTTGAGCTGTGGCTTATATTAGTTTATCACGGCCTAAATTTTGAGAAGAGCCTGTGGGAACTGAGTTTTCTGAAGGCTAAATTCAAGTGAAATCCCACCCCCTGTGCAGTCATGAGCAATGCCATGCACTGCTGTTTCAAGGACTGACTGCAGAGTACAGAAATACCCAGCACCACTAACAGCTAGAAACAAAAATAGTGACCAGAAGAGCAGAGAATAACATTAAAGCTCCATAAAAGTAGGTTTTAAAATGCTAGCACCCCCAGCACCCCTTGCATTTCAACTGGGGCCCCAGCTGGTAAGGCTATGATTGCATTTTCCTTTACCTGGATAACAGCTTTCTTGTCAGCCTTTGGCAAGTTCTTTGCTTGGCGTTCTGCCTCTTCCCACTCTCTCATGACCTAATGAACAAAACAAAGAACATGACTTTCCTATTTCCTCTGTTGTCTAAGGACTTAGCAACAGCCAAGCACTGCAGCTCCAACAGTCATCTTCTTACATTTCTCTCCTTTTATCTCTATACAAACAGCAGTTGCAACATTTAATGAAGATAGGGTCCTGTTATTGATTAAACAAAGACAGTACTTCTGTGTCTGAACACTATGCCAAGCTCTCACAACTCTGCTGTGAAGCAACACAGCCGTTAACCAGCCCTCAAGCGAGGGAAGTGGAGGTCTCTGTGGGCGAACACACCAACCCCTTTTCAATTCAGACACAAAAAACCAGCTTCCATCTATTATATGTCCTTGGACAAAATGAGTGAATTTCAACTCATTCTAATTGTCACTTTATAGATTTAGTCGGGCTACATCACTGACCTCTGAAGAGGACAGAACAAAAATTATGTGCAATTTGTGCTAGGCTGCCTATTTGTCCAGAAACAGGGGTTGTAACAACACTCTTAAGAACAAAGCATGTAGCTCAAGTACACCACTGACAGAAAAATAATATAGGAGAACTTTCAGCATCATTTCTTTCAGCAATGTGAGAAGCCACCTTCCCCTGTAACACAGAACAGTACTTCAATAGTCAGGGAATGAGTTACTCATAAGTAGCTGTCTATAACATCTTACCTAGGACCTTTACTCATTTCATACCTAGACAGCAATCTCCACAGACAACTCATTTTATACAGGAACAGTTGTTTGCACTGAATGCAGGCACACAAATAGGCGAGTTAAGTGCAGGATTAGCACAATGTCAGAAGGCAGAGAAGAAACCTAGAGGGAATTACAATGTTCATTTCCTCTCCATCCTTTCTCAATAAAACACACACTTTCACACCACTTAATAGAAAGTCTAGAAGAATTTTAGAAAAGCTCAGAATCCACCTGCATGACTGAAATTTTATCAAGACCAATATCAAGGCCAGGAAAAGTAAGTCCCACTGTGCCTCATGCTTGCAGGTTGCACCTCCACCATTCAGCTCCTGTCTCAGGCTTCCCAGTTTTCCTGCACACGGGATATTGCTAATCAGGCTCTTTGATGGACAGACTGGAGACCAATGGTGGTGCCTCACGGTACCTGGTTGAGTGTGTGCCTTTAAAAAATCCCCCCCACAAACCTGGGCTCAAAGGAGACTTTTACAAGTCCCAGACCTTGAAATGTAATCTGTCTCAGTTCTATACACAGTTGTAGGCCTTAACGATTAACCAGCATGCTGACACCTGCACTCTAAACTGACACAATGTATGGGATTTTGTCGTTAAGTTCTTATCTTCCTTTTCACCCCAAGCCTGGGACTGTATCTCAAGACAGCAATAAATCAGTCACAGTAAAACCAGATCAACTCACTATCAGTGGAATTATTTATCTGTAAGAGATTGTGGCCTCAATAACAGCCCAAGAGAATGGATCTTGTCTTTTGGGAAGCTAATGTGATGCTGAAAACAAAAACAGGAAATTGTTTTGCCTGCTTCTGGGCTTCAGCGGGGGCATGGTTACACATCATTTTTAAGCACAGAGGCCTGAAGTTACATAATAATAAATTAGCCTTAACCTCACCCAGCTCTTTTACTGGGAAGTGTAAGCTGAAACTTAAGTCCCAAGAACTGTATCCAACCTACATAACTGGCAGCCTAAAAGTACCTCTTCAATTTATCTTCTCATCAGACAATACCCAGTGATGTGCAAATTGCAGCCAAGTTCTAAGGCAGCTGGAAACAAAATTTACAAGAAGCTATGAAAATTCATTTGCCAGGGGTTGTAGCAAGAAGCTGAGGACAGAGAACATACCACAGCACACTGGAGTTAGAGGTCACACCCCATCAGCTACTATCCCACTGCTTTGGCACACGAGATTTTAATGATTCTTTGACAAAACAGGACTAGATGACTTGAACTGACAGCATGATTTAGAGCACCCATTATGTGTTCTGGGAAAACCTTATTAATGCTCAGAGTGCTGTATTCAGTGCCCAATAAGCATTCATCTCAATTGTGTGCTTAGGCCATTTAACTGTGGGGGCCAAAAAAATTATTCACGTATACAGGCAGCACCTTTCCAGAGACCTGATGTGTCACTGGTGCCAGGATGTGAAATTGCCTAAGACCCAGAAATTATGGCATTAATCCAACTCAAACTACAATGATGTGTTCAAGCTTGAGCACTGGCCTAGGTTAGCAACTTTATGATTTTCTTTTCCCTCCTCACCCTTTATGTCTTCGAAACACATCTCTGACATCTGCCTAATACTCTTTCTGACTCTGAACGAGTAAGTTGATGGGTTTTCAGAATAACAGTTCCCTTGCTGTCTTTATCTCCCAAACTAAACCTCTGCTAATCCATATGATGAAAACAAGTACTGTGGGTAATGTGATAAGGAGACCTTTGGCTAGACCAGGTCTCTCTGCCCGTTTTATTTCTCTAATCCTTTTAAGGCATGGAAGGCAGGATGATGAACTGACAGCCTACACAGCTAGTTGGGAGGGATATAAATTACAGACTTCAGAGTGCAGCTCTGGTATTACAAGACTGAAAGTCTTGTGAAGAAACCCAGAATGACATGCCTGTTTGCAGAAGCAATATTCTTGTAAAGATTGCTGTGCTCTGTGTGCCCATTTTTGCAACTGAGAAGACTTCAATGGTTGACAACATCTCTGTGTGTACGTTAACCAACTGAAGATACAGCTGCCTTACAGCTACCTATGGGCACCCACACTACCACCCACAAGAAACTGCTCTCTCCATAGGCTGTCACTTCAGAAAATTATGAGTGACTAAGAAATACACTGTAATGCTGCATAGGAACCCAAAAAGCAATGAGGGGAAAAAAATTTCCACAGATAGGCACGTGTAGAAAAAGGCTTCACTTGGCCTCTATGCACTTATAAACCTATTCTCCCCTGTTGACAGCACAGACCTATGAAAGACATGAATTTATGGCTCTTCAAGGATTGGTGGCTTTGTGCAGGGAAAATGACAATTCTGGTTCAGACTTAAGCAGCAAGCCATTTCAAAGTCAAACTTCTTCAGAACTCAGGACTTAATGCCTGGTAGACTCCTTTTGAAATTAGGCTGTAACGGATAGCAAGAAGGAAAGAGGCAGTACGGAAAATGTCACTCATTAAGAGAGATGCTAAATACAAAAATCTCTTTATATTGAAAGAAGCAGAATTCACTCCCATTTTTTACACCAGGGCACAGAAGTGTATCTGCAAGAGAAAAATTTATGGCAGACATTTGGGTTGAGCAATCAGACCAGCAGAGGCACAACCTGATTGCTGGCTGAATGAGAATGTCAAAGTCATGCCAATAAGGCTTCTACCTTTCATAGAATCATGAAGGCTGGAGGAGACCTCTAAGATCATCCAGTCCAACCATTAATCTGCCACTCTGCTGTAACCCCTAAACCATATCCTCCAGTGTCAGATCCAGATGCCTCTTAAAACACTTCCAGGGATGGTGACTCCATCACCTCCCTGGGCAATCTATTCCAGTGACTGACCAGTTTAACAGTGAAAAAAAATTTCCTAACATCTAATCTGAATCTCCCCTATCTCAGTTTATGACTGTTCCCTCTAGTCCTCTCACTGCAGGCATGGCAGAAGAGACCAACCCCCAACTCCCTCCAATGTCCTTTCAGGTAGTTGTAGAGAGCGATGAGGTCACCCCTGAGCTGCCTCTTCTCAAGGCTAAACAAACTCAATTTCTTCAGCCATTCCTTATACGATATGTTTTCCAGAACTTTGCCAAGGGCTTTGGTTCCACACTTAAGTCTTGACCCTTTTTCAGGTAACATCATCATTAAATCTCTCCAAAGAGACCTGACTGTAACTGAGGCAGGTAATCCTAATAACCTGACAGTTTTAAGGAAGGAAACAGCCTTCCCACACACAGTAATAGAGATGATGATGGAACCTAGGGAATATATGAACCAGTATTACTTAACATCTTTGCTGGGGGCATGAACAGTAGGATTGAATACACCCTCAGCAAGGTGACACCAAACACAGTGATGTGGCTGAGGGAAGGAATGACATCCAGAGGGACCCGGACAGGCTTGAGAGGCTTCAAGAAAGCAGGAGAAGGACTTTTTAGAAAGGGCACATCATGATAAGACAAGGAGGAATGGCTCTAAACCAAAAGAGGGTAGGTTTAGATTAAATATTAGGAAGTATTTCTTTACTGTGAGGGTAGTGAGACACACACACAGGTTTCCCAGAGAAGCGATGGATGCCCTATCCCTGGAAGTGTTCAAGACCAGGCTGAGCAACTTGGTCTAGTGGAAGGTGTCCCTGCCCATGGTAGGGGGCTTGGAACTAAATGATCTTTAAAGTCCGTTCCAACCCAAAACAATCTGTGAGTCTATAGTGCCACTGAGACTGAAAATCAGCTGAAGACCTTTCCAGGATATTGGAATGAGTGGCATGCAATGATAAAAAAAAAAGTCCTGAACTTAACATCAGACCTGTTCAGGCTGGTTGAGGACTGCAGTATTTTCAGCTGTTTGCTTTGGAAATAAACTTCCAAGAAGCAGTACTATTCTAGGAGACAAGGTATCATTAGAGTCCCTATCATAAGTACTCTACATGGTATGATTCAAAAATATTGTAAACAGCCAGAGAAAGAATAAATTTAAGACATGAGGATGCTACAAGATGTCTGAGGAGAGAAATATATAAATATACTGCTCCCCTGAGTAAGGTCCAGTATCTGGTTCATCAGACTATTTAGCTGCAACTAATTAAGAGAGCTGTACAGGAGTTAACTAACTGAAAAGAGAAAGAGGAAAATGGGAATTGTACCAAAACAGGAAACAAGAACCATGGCACTTTGCAATCAGTTAGCATAACCTCTCCCCGTTATACATCAGATAATAGAAAACATTTCAAGGTTACACATGCATCACTGAATGGCTTATTCTGTTTGCATGGGAATGTAGATTGGCTGTTATTGGAGCTGCATTAATAATACTTGGGAAAAGCTTAAAATTGTTGGTTAACAGAATTCTCTTCACAGTACTGACTAGGAAAGTTTGCAAGCCTTGTTGCTTCAAGTGTGGTGCAGAAAAACTCCTGATCTGTAGTCTAGAGAGACAGACACTTCAGAGCAGAAGGGATTAAGAGTCTGAACCTACAGGCTCCCTTAGTAAGAGAATCTCTTACGAGTTGTGAACTATGAAGTGACACAACTGCTGACAGAAGTCGGGTCTCTGCTTGGGTCAAGATCTTCATACAAGAGAAAGAGAAACATGTTGCCAGCATTTTGTGGCAAAAAAAGGGAAATCTCAGAAAGAGGATATGCAGAATATTTGCATTTGCCCTGATGATATGTTTTAAAATATTTTAATATAATTGGTTCTAGTGATAAATTTACCTACTCCTTAGAGGACTAAATCTTGTATGTGAACTAGAATGCATCTGATTTTTTTTACCAGTTAACTGGCTGTTGCAAAGTAAGGTGTGCACCAAATCTACTACTTTTTAAAAAAAAACTAGCGGCTTTATTAAATAACAAAAATCTGCATTTTGTAAACAAATCAACCTATTTCAGATTATGACATTTAACAGGATTAAAGAATGACTTGATCATTTCCCTAAAAACAGTGATCATTTCCTCTCTTTTTAATAGAAGCAAGATACTCATTTCTGTCGCTTTATAAGCCTCCATTTCTCAGCTTTAAAAGAACTGGACTTTGAATAAAAAAAAGAATATATATGCTTGTTGCTGCTGGAAGACTTAGCTAGCAACTCTCACTTGTTACCTTATTGTTTTAAAGAGAAAAACACTGACAGCAAAGGCTTACTGAGTTAATTTATCCAGCACTGTTTTCAAAATAACAAGTAACAGTTTCTAATTAATTTTTAGCTAAATATATATTTAAATACACAGTCAATTATATATTAAGAACACACTTGATTTTAAAGAAAAAGTAAAAAGCAAAAATACATTGCCAGAAAAGGAAACCAGTGGTATTGGACACATACTCATGTGAGGAAACAGAATGGTAAACTAGCTGACTTTTCTACTTCTCCATAACATCTGCTATTTTTAAACATTTAAAAACTTAACAGGAAGAGGCTTGTTCAGTACTGTAACCAAACATTCCTCATAGAAGGAAAAACTAAATTATAGAAACTTAACTCTCATCTTCAAAGCTCTGCAGGGGTCTGTGTCCTTCAAGACGTATGTCCTTTAAGCTGTGATTTTATAAGCAACTTAGGCAAGTTAATGATTGATTTTTTCTTTTAATGTACCTATCATGCTGATGTTTCCCAGGCCTGATTTAGCTTGCTGAACTGGCCAGAGCTGGTTATTGTTCTTGTTTTTGAAGGAGTGACATTGCAGCAAGATGAGGGAGCTGACCTGTCTCACCCTACCACTGTACCCTCATTAGCGCTGACAGCAGGGATGGCTGGGGACATGCTAACGAGGGCACCAGCGTGAGCTTCAGTCAAGCCCTTGAACCACAGCCTTCAGTTATGAGGGTGCCCCAAATGTGCATGGAAAATGTACAGTGCATTCACCCACAAGTTTTCTGATGCTGCAGCTCAGTGCTTTGCCCAGTCAATTTTGTCACCCTGAAGCACTGATGCTGTATGGTGCCTATGAATTTTCCTGGGTACTATTTGAGCAGCTCTTTTCCACAAATCATCAGTTTTATAGAAAATACACAGTACACTCAAATACTTCCCTTAATTACTCAGCTTAACTTTTACATACTGGGATTTTGGAGACAATCCCAAAACCATGGTGAAAATCTGAAGACTATGCCAAGGAAACCTGTTTCACATTGACTGTCCTTTTCTTTCAGGACACCCAGTCCACAGGTGGGGTTTTTTGTCTGTTTGTTTGCTGGGGTTTTTTTTCTCTTTCACAAAAAAGGCTACTTCAAGGGGAAGGAATAAGAGGGTGATGACTGCATTACACACCAACTCTCTGCGTATCTAGCCAGGGCAGGATCTCCCTCCTCTGCTAGGCACGCTGTGTGCCTCTTTTATCCTCCAGATTCCCTGCCTATTAAATTGGCACTCTTTTCTTTGTTTAAAGAGCTTATTTGTGCTACAACACTTGCCAAGGCAGATGAGGAGTACCTCTCCTCCTATCTGTTAAGTGTCATATTCTCAGTGTGTGGCTTTAACCGATCAGGTAAGTGCTTCAGGTAAGATGCCCTGCTCTATTTATTAGAAAAGTGCCAGGCACAGCTACAGTGCCAGTAGACAGGGACTTACACTAAGAGCTTAATTTAATTTTAATTCACAAAAAATTTCAGTTTCAGAATAACATTTTAGCACAGAGCTGAAAGTTAATGTATCAGCAATAGACATAAACACTAAGAAAGTGTCAGGAGAACAAAGTTACAGTGAAATATTATAGTAAATTAGCTACACAGATACATGCAGTGCATCTGAATTATACTACATTCATTTTTTGTGGTTGTTCCATCCTAAAAAAATATGCACCACAGGCTTTCCTTTAAACCTCTTATTTTTCCTTTGTTGTTATTAAAGCAGAACTGTGACCATTTTTATTGGCTTTGCTATTATAAACCCTATTTCTAAGGCAGTGGATAACTCATCTCTTACAGTGGCCAATAGGATTAAAAATAGTGTACAGTTTCAGGCTACACAAATCTGTTTGGTTAAAAGGAAAGAAAAGAGTTGATTCAGTTTGGATTCTCAGTTCAAAAGCACTAATTTTTCCTCTTTTCTTTGGCTTCAGAGGCATTTCATGTTACCTTGAGGCTCAAGACAATTAGATGAACATACATGATCTTACACCACCTCAGGTCATGGCCACGTATGTGTACACACAGCAAACAGAGCTCATCCCAAGTCATCTCCCTCTGTTACTGCAAAGGAAGGACAACTAACACAGTGGCCAAGTTCTTAGACACAAGAATAATCTCACAAAACAAACACTTCCACAAAGATGACAGCAATCTGTAACAGACTTTCTCTTCCTTTTAACCAGCACAAGTAACTGCAGTGGCGGTGATGTATGCTAGCCAGCTGAATTCTTAAGAGTCAAAAAGGCAGTACATGGTGTATTTACAGCACTGCAGATTGGGCACCTGGATAAACCCTTGGGAAAGAAGACGATGAACGATCATGAGCACCTTATGACTTGACAGACAAGCTTCCACATTTAGGAATAAAGAAATCTCCCCTTACCTGAGACATCCTTTCACGATGTTTAGCTTCAAGCCTTTCCTTGGCCTTCTGGAAGTGGGCATGTTCATTCTCATCTCCAGGGGTCTCCAAATATTTGTCAACAGCATCAGGAGTGCTAGCGGCTGTGGTAGGGACTGAGGTAATATTTAGCGGTGGGAAGAGGGAGGGGAGGAGGAAGAAAAGCAGAATTTCTACTTTAGTAGGGGAAAACTTCGGTGGACCGAGCAAGAAGCATCTGTTCTAGCTTCTATCAGAATAAAGCCATTCATTTAGCCTCAGAGGAAGATATAAAAATGTGGTTTAGGTGAACATGTTACACACAGTAAGTATATATAAATACACCAGGATTTCCTCCCCTGTCCCATTTTATAAACCAGCAGAAACTCTTCAGAGTGACTACAGCAATGTTCCTCAAACAGGTTAGAAACCGCTGCCAAAGGAGAAATTCCAAGTAAGAAAAAAATCCTGGCAATGACTATAGTCTATAAGCCAGCAGAAAGCCCTTTGCAAAATTACATGCTTTGTACATTGGTTTATTTTTAAAAGGTAAATCGTGACACAAATGTGAATGCAAATAAATTTTTAAGCACTTATGGACCTCACAATACCTAATGAAACACCTCAAATCCTTCCCTTGGCAGCAGTTTGGCCTCACAGATATTTACTTTATTTGCAACAACTCTGATTAAGAAAATCCCTCACGGATCCTGGAATAATCAGGCAATTGCACTAATTGCAGCCATTCCTGTCAGCTAACTAGGCCATACCTGTGACGCTGGTAGTGGAAAGATTTGCATTTGGGGTAATTCAAGCAAAATGAGCAACAGTTCCCTCACTACACAGTGACATTCAACAAACCCTACACTAATTAGAGTAACATTTCTGTGCTAGGCCATAACAGCAATTAAAAAACTCTCCAATAACAACCAACTATGTCAACTATACTGTCCCTAAATATTTTATGATAGAATTAGTTTCATCTCCCTGGTCACATTTAGTTCAACAACTGCAAAGTTAGTTTAAAAATTCTGACAAAGGAAAAAAACAACATATACATAGTTGTGAGGGGTTTTTTTAGAAAACGAGTTTGACAACATGTACTATAGTGAACTTCACTTACAGAAGTCATACATTTTAGCAGACAGAGTAATATAGCTAGTGTAAACCCAAGATATTCTCACATTCCAAACACTTCTCACTATCTTCAACAAAACCAAACTTTAATCCGAAGATCAAAATGAGCAATAGCAACCGATATTAATTTATGACTATTTTCTCCCACACAAGTTAAAATGTCAGCATACCCATGTTAAACTATCAAAAAAAATTTTTAAAAATCATCAGTTAGGAATGCAGTGTGTTAATCCCAGTGAAATATATCCTCAATTTTTAGGAAAAACAATCCAAAATTCTCCTTAGCTGTATAACCCCCAAAGCAAAACCATCAAAAATGAACAGAAATCCTCTGCATTTGGCTGCATTTGAGATATCTCTACATGGCCACTGCAATAGGCATGAATGGTTTTGTTTGTATAAATTGCACAGTGGATTTTTTTAAGTTACTCAGTGGATCAAATGAAAGGCCTTGCTTGTCTCAAAGAAAAAGAATCTAAAAGCTAAAACAAACTGATATATCATAGGCAGTGCAAGTCATCACTCTGCCTGCCACTCTTTGGGTTGTTTCCTAAGTACTTTATGACAAGCTTACACTTTCTAAAATTGTAAACTTTGTTACTAAAGTTCTGTTAACAATCAAATGGGTACAAACAAGCTTCCTGACAATGATAAAACCAATAAAAATAGAATGGAACTCTTAATATTTTCAATGGCTACTCTTACAACTTCAGACTATTTAAAGTCTATGATGCTGTTATAAAAGCATAAAAAACTTGTCTCTTTTTAAACTCTTAAGGATAACAACCCATCTTCAAGGACAACCTGGTTTGTGCTGGGGTGCAGTGCTGCTTGCCAGAAAGGCTACAGCCAGTGTAAGCAAATTCCAAATCATCCAAAGCTCAAACTGAGTGAAAACATTTCTTGTAATGCTTAGAAGTTCTAAAGATCTTTGCCTTTTAATCTCTCAAGCACCAAATTAATTTCATCTTTATCTTTCCTGAAGCTGCACTTAAGTATTGTGCATTTTAATTACATTTTAAAAAATCAAAAGAAAATGTTATTTTAAAGCAGGAAAAAAAATTAAGTGCCAGACCCAGCAAAGACCATCCATCCCTTCCAGGCTCCCATTTTCTGACAGGGTATCACCAAATATCCCTAGGCAAGGGCAGGGAATACTCTTTTTGCAATGTTTAACTAATCTTGCTGGATTATTCTTCCATGATTCTAATTTTTAATATTTTTCCCCAAAAAACTTGCATAAGATTGATTTAACATTCACACCACAGGTGGCAATGAGTTCCATGGTTCAGACAGGCTCTGCGTGAAGAGGATTCCCCTCTCCCTCACCCTCCTCTCTCTGCCTCTGCAGCACACAGCAGAGTTCATCACAGGAAAACGAAATGGGGAAGCACTCCAGTGCATTCACCATCCTTCTCCATCTCTTATGGATTTGTTTTCCTAACTGAACTTAAGTTGTACAAACACTAGTGGGAAGAAGTGACAATCTGAATAACTGTCCAATAAATTATGCAAATGTAACCTTTAATTTATCGAACAGGAAAAAAGGTCACCAGCATTTGCACTGTTAAGCCACCTGGATGTTCCAGGTTTGATTTTCAAAAGCTCCTGTCTCATGTGCAGCCCTTATAGCCTGGATTTTTGGGCAGTATGCTTACTTCCCACCAAAATGTGTGTTTTTGAACATGTGTGTTTCTGAACGGGTCAGAGCAGCAGGTGCTGAGAACTGGAAAACCTGACATACATGGTGCATGGTGCCGGGGATGTCAGAGCACCAGAGCACCCTTCAAAATCTGTGCAAAACCAAACAGCAGCTGGGCATTAAACAACACAGACCTGGATGCCTGAGACAACCAGGCTATGCCCTGGAGGATAGGGAAGGATGAGGGCAGTACATCGGCACCTGACTGCAAACTGCTCTCTCATGCTAATGCCAAAGTGGGTAACACTAACAAAGAGTGATACTGCATAGGAGGGAAAGGCTACTACCCTTGACCTGGAGCAAAAGGCTGTAAGGCCACACATAGTTCTCCACTACATGCTCTCAAATAGAAAGAGGGCTGGGAAACAGGCATGAGAACTCATGGGAGCTTGGGAGACCTGTCTCATGGTAAGAGCAATCAGTCACACTCACCCACCAAGGACTACTAATCCGATTCAGAAAATCTCTCTGGAAAAAAGATTTCTGACAACAGCTTTATCAGAAAGAAGCAACTGAGGTCTGACAGTTGGAAACCAAAGGTAGACAGAATAAGAGTGGAAATCCAGAGCAGACATAAGGCACCCACACTTTCAGTAGTAAATCCAATTAAGTGTTTGAACAACTTATACAAAGATAGGCCAATTCACCCAAAAGCATCCTTGAAAACATCCTGCTTCAGCATCTCCTTCTGAAACACAGCAAACAGGCATGAAAGCAAGGAGTAAAATGGGTGTTTTCTCCCTCTCTGCTTGCTGCCAGCAGCAGTCAATACTCAGCACATATCAGAGTAGGCCAAGCTTGTGCCAAGCCTTGCTGTAGACTCAGTCTCCCTACTGTTCCTGGGATGTTTATTCCGTAGCTGGTGGCCAAAGAGACCAACCAACCTAGTAACACTGACCATATCACACTTTGCCAACACAGACACTGTTTAAACTGTTAAAAAACAGGGCTAAGTTTCATTGAAAAGTGCAGCATCTATGCTTAGGAAAATACTAAAAAGTGAGATAGTTATAAAAAATGTGGTTTTATTTATCAACTTTTCTATATAGTATTAAAAAAAAAATCACAATTATCAACAGTATATTAAAAAAAACCACCTTTGTGATTCCATCATGCCAGTAATTGGCTGCCTACCCCACGCCCCCAAGAAAAGGGTGGTTACAAAAATGCTGAGCTCCCTTCTGCATAAAGCAGAAACATTAAAATTTCTTCAAGGCTGTTGGCACAAAACCTAACCTTTGCAATCTAATACATTTGGGAGCTTTGTTTATAGAGATGTATTGCATGTTTTCTCATAGTAAATTTGGCACATTCGGTCAGCAATCAGTTAAAGACAAGGATTCCTTAAAAATCTGCAGCCTGATCTCATTTTATTACCCCACCTGCCCTTAGAAGAATGCATGGTTTGTTTTATAAGGTAACTCATTTTACTCTTGCATGAAGACTGATCAAAAAGTGTGTGCTGACAGATGCGGAAGAAACTCTGTATCAGCTGACATTTTCTTCACACTTGCACCCATTTTATCTGTCAATTTCCAAACAGATTTTACTTCTAAATTTTTAAGTCTTTAAAATTCTAACCTTCCTGGAGACACGACACAGGTTCAATAATACAGACAAATTGTGCTCTACACGTTTTATTATTTAACATTTCCTACGTTAACAGAAGACCAAGAAAAACAAAAGGCAAGAAAATGCAAGAATACACCTCCCAGATCCTGTTAATATCAGCATCTCCAGTGAAAGAAAAAACAGTTATTCACTAATCTCATATAAATGACAGGCTCAGTAGATGTTCCTTTTCTCAAAGACACTGGCTGCTGCCTATCACATGGGAAACCACTCGCAGTGGGAACATTACCCAACTAAAATACCGTATTCAGTGGATGTATTCATTGCCTCTGAATTCCACGTATGTAACTGCCTCATTAATGAGGGATTAAGATCAAAGCTTTCAGCTGTTGACTAAGATCACAACTAATTACAGCACTTAATGACAATCACAAGTGCATATGGAGTACCTTGAGTGAGAAGAGTTTCTATTATTGCTACAGCTACCTCGAGAAATGAGCTGGGATTACAAGATGGTATCCCCATGCTTCTGTGAACAAGACACTCTGCTTACAGCAGGGTGGCAAAGCCAATGAACAGAATCTAAACAACAGGGAAGGAAAATAATGATTACCTTTTTATTATGAACTAGACAAATTACCACCTGAATGACACAAGACAAATGAAGGCTGGGAAAGGTATTCAATGCAGGGATTTCCCAGGATCAGTTTTTACTGAAGAAGTAGT